AAGGCAGCCAAAAAGGCCAAAGAGCAGGAGCGGCAGCGCCAGTTCAGGGCGCGCAAGATCGCGGCTAGGCTCCGCGCCCCGAAGACCGCAGCTGTAGTGATTACACTACAGCCGGACGCGGAAAAAGAAGGGCGTTACCTACCGCGATCTGCTCGCGAAGGCGAAGGAGGCGGTGGATCTCGGGGAGCTCGGGATCACCGGGGGCCTCCGGCTCAAAGTCACCCAGACGGGGGCCCGTATGCCAGAGGTCCCCGGGGAATTCAGTGGCGCGACCGAGGACGCTCTGGCTGCGAAGCTCAGAGCGTCTCTGGACGCGGAAGAGGCCCGGGTGTCCAGGCCCGTCAGATGCGCAGACCTGCGCATCATGGGTCTGGACGACTCGGTATCGGAGGAGGAGTTGGTGGCCGCCGTCGCCAGGTCCGGGGGGTGCACTACTGACCAGGTTAGGTCAGGCGCCATACGCCCGGACCAACGGGGCATGCATGCCGCCACGGTGTGCTGCCCTGTTACGGCGGCCAAAACCATAGTGGAGGGCCGAAGGCTGCTGGTGGGCTGGGTCTCAGCGCAGGTTAAGCTGCTGGAGCCCAGACCTCTGAGGTGCTATCGCTGTCTCGTGGGGCACCACGTATCAGTGAGATGCGCCTCGGAGGTTGACCGTAGTCGCCTGTGCTTCCGCTGCTGTCAGCCCGGACACATATCGGCAACCTGCTGCGCCACGCCGCACTGTGATGCGTGTGCGGCGACCGGCAAGCCAGCCGATCACCGGGCCGGAAGCAAGGCCTGCGTGCCACCCGCCAAGGCCAAGGCCGCGGGTAGGGTAGGGGCCAAAGCCGCCACCGCCTCTGTGGCCTCCGCCGCAGCCGCAACTGCCACCGCCACTGCTATCACTGTCGCCGCCGCCGCCGCCGCGACACCGACGCCCGCAGAGGGGCCCCCGTGGAGGAAGCTGAAATGGAATGCCTATAACGGCCCCATTAAGCTTCCTCCAGGCGAATATCAACCACTGCGCCTGCGCTCAGGATCTGTTGCTCCAGAGCATGGCGCAGTGGTCGATTACTATAGCTGTGGTCGCTGAGCCGTATTTTGTTTGGCCTAGGGAGGACTGGGTGGCGGACCTTAACGGCTCAGTGGCCATCATCTCTTCGGCCGCCGCCGGTACCCCGACCCTTGAAGGTGTCAGGAGGGGTCAGGGGTGCGTAGCAGCACGGTTCGGGGAGTTCGTCGTTGTGGGGGTGTACTTCTCCCCGAACCGATCTCTCGCCGAGCTCCACAACTCTCTTGCAGAGCTGAGAGCAGTCGTCGTCGGAAGTTATCCCCTCCCCCGTACTTGTCCTCGGGGACTTCAATGCCAAGAACTTGGCTTGGGGTTCTCGTCGTACAGATGTGCGGGGTAGGATGGTGGAAGACTGGGCTCTGGAGACAGGCCTGGTCGTCCTAAATCGGGGGTTCTGTCCCCACGTGTGTGCGGATGCGGGGCGAGTCGGTGGTGGACATTTCGTTCGCTAGCCCCGCTCTGTCGCCGCGTGCCATTGACTGGCGTGTCATGGAGGGGGTGGAGACCTACTCCGACCACCGGTACATCCGGTTTGATGTCTCCACCCAGCCCTCGAGCGCGCCAGTCCAACAGGCCCCGAGTGGTCCGCGTTGGGCGCTGAAGCAGCTGGACCGGGAGCTCCTCCTGGAAGCCTCGATCGTGCAGGCCTGGGTGTCATCACCGGACAGGCCTGCCGACGTCAATGATGAGGCAGGGTGGTTCCAGGAGGCCATGTCCGAGATATGTGACGTGGCAATGCCCCGCGTCCGGCCAGGAAGCGCCCGGCGTCAGGTGTATTGGTGGTCGCGTGAGCTGACGTCTCTGCGCGAGGCGTGTATCGCCGCGCGGCACCTGTACACCAGGCATCGCAGGCTCCGCATTCGTCCACCGAATGCGGCAGCCATTGAGGCGGAGCTGTACGAGGGATACAGAGCGGCGAAGAACGCCCTCCGGGAGGCTGTCCTGCGGGCCCGGGATCGGGCCCGTGAGGAGATGCTGGAGACTTTCAACAGAGATCCGTGGGGGCGCCCTTACAAGATGGTGCGGGATAAACTCCGCACCTGGGCCCCCCGCTGACGCAAAGTCTCCGGCCCCAGCTCGTGGAGGACGTGGTGAGCGCTCTGTTCCCTGCGCGACGGGAACATCCACCCCCGCCTATGGCTCCGCCACATGCGGTGCCGGAAGCGGACCACCAGGACGACGACGACGACATCCCGGAAGGGACCGGGGTAGACCTGAGAGTGGCGGTACGTAGGCTCAAGGCCAGGAATACCGCCCCAGGACCCGATGGCTTGCCTGGCAAAGCCTGGGTCCTGGCCTCCGGAGGCTCTCGGGCCCCGACTGGAGGGGCTCCTAAGCGCATGCTTGGAGAGAGGCCAATTCCCGCTTCGTTGGAAGACGGGGAAGCTGGTCCTCATTCGGAAGCCGGGGCGCCCTGCGGACTCTCCGTCCGCATACCGGCCCGTGGTGCTGCTCGAGGAGGTGGGCAAGCTCTTTGAAAGCGTCATTGCAAACCGCCTCGCCGAGCACCTTGCGGGGACGGGGCCGGATCTTGCGGAACACCAGTTTGGTTTCCGCAAGAGGCGCTCTACGGTGGAAGCCATCATGCGCGTGAGAGCCCTCACGACGGGGGATGCAGTGGCCAGAGGGGGGTTGTCTTGGCGGTGTCTCTTGACATCGCCAACGCCTTCAACTCCATGCCCTGGAGCTGCATTAGGGAGGCACTCCGGTATCACCGGGTGCCGACCTATCTCCGTCGTATAGTCGGGGACTATCTGACGGACAGGGCCGTCATCTACCCCGGTCGCAACGGTGAGTGGAACCGGCGAGAGATGTCGTGCGGTGTCCCACAGGGTTCGGTTCTGGGGCCACCTCTGTGGAACATCGGTTATGACTGGGTGCTGCGCGCCGACCTCCCTACCGGCGTCGGCGTAATTTGCTACGCTGATGACACGCTGGTACTGGCACAAGGGGGGTCGTACGAGGCGGCGGCGGAAACTATGACACGCGGGGTTGCGATAGTCGTTGAGAGGATTCGGCAACTGGGTCTCGAGGTGGCTCTGCACAAGTCCGAGGCCATGCATTTCCATGGTCCTCGGAACAGGCCACCACCGGGATCCTCAGTAATGGTAGGAGGGGTATCCATCGGCGTCGAGTCGACGCTGAAGTACCTAGGACTCGTCCTAGACGGCCGATGGAACTTCGTTGAGCACTTCCGACGTTTGGCTCCCAAACTGGAACGGACCGGGGCTGCCTTCAGGCGACTCCTGCCGAACCTGGGGGGGCCAAACGCCTCCTGCCGGAGGCTCTACGCGGGGATCGTGCGATCCATGGCCCTTTACGGGGCCCCGGTGTGGGCGCGTGGTTTGGCGCGGCTTGCCGTCCACCACCTGAACGCGCCCCAAAGGGTGGTCGCCGTTAAAATGGTTCGCGGCTACCGCACGATCTCCCGCGAGGCGGCGAGCCTCCTTGCCGGATTGCCGCCATGGGATCTGGAGGCGGTAGTCCTCGCACGCCTGCACGAATGGCGCGCGGAGGCACTATGCCGGGGAAACCCCGCTGCCGCGGCAAGTTGTCGCGCAGCGGACAGTCTTCCGGCACGATCTCATGGCGACATGGAGAGACGACTGTCGCAACCCCGTGCTGGGCACGCCACTATAGCGGCGATAAGACCCCTCTTTGAGGAGTGGCTTGAGAGACGCCACGGCATCCTCACCTTCCGCCTGACTCAGGTCCTCACCGGACACGGTGTGTTCGGGAGGTTCCTGCACCGAATCGGGCGGGAGGAAACGCCCGGGTGCTCCCACTGCGAGGATGGACCGGAGGACACGGTGGAACACACCGTGGAGGTGTGCCCTGCTTGGGCGGAGCACCGCCGTGTCCTCGTAGCGGCGATAGGCGGCGGCGACCTCTCGCGTCCGGCCCTGGTCGAAGCCATGGTCCGGAGCGAGACGGAATGGGATGCCGTCACCACCTTCTGCGAAGCAGTGATGCTAGCGAAGGAGGTGGCGGAGCGGGAGAAGGAAAGAGCAGCAGCTTTCCTCCCAGGCCGCCGCGGGAGACGCCCCGGGCGTCGGGGGCTACGTCGTGGCCCCCGGCCACCGTAGGCGCGGGCCTGTGGACGGCGAGCAATGGGTAGCTCGTCGTCCGTCCGTCTAACGACGACAGGCCGTGTCGACGGCGCGTTTTGTTCCACGCGCGCCTCAAAGAGCTGTCAGCAGCGTGATGGGGCCCGCAAGGGCCGACGCCTGCCGGGGCTGCGGGCTATTCGAAAGAGATACCGCGGCTCCGGAACGTAAGGGCACTGAAGGAACACGGATGGTTTTTAGTCAGTAAAAGTCTGACACTCCCTTACGCTCCACCCAGAGCGAAAGGGGTCATTAGATGATTTTCCATCCGCAAAAAAAAAAAAAAAAAGAGAGTAAATGTTGTACATGATTTATCAAATTAAATAAGAACAGTTTTAATAGATAAAAGCAAACATAGATAAATAATAACATGAATTATAATTATCGTCATCGTCCTCATCATCATCATTGTCATCATCATCGTCATCATCGTTATTGTCATCGTCATCATCATTGTCATCGTCATCCTTATCGTCATCGTCATCATAATCGGCATCGTCATCGTCATCATCATTGTCATCGTCATTGTCATTATCATTATCATCATCGTCGTCATCATCATCGTCGTTATTGTCATCATAATTATCATCGTGATCGTCATCATTATCGTTATCGTCGTGGTCATCATCATTGTAGTAGTCATCGTCATCATCATCGTCATCATCATCATCGTCATCATCACATTATCATAATCGTCATAGTCATCAACATCGTTATCGTTATCGTCGTTATCATCTGCATCGTCATCGTCATCATCATCATCATCGTCATTATTTTCACCATCTTCACCACCATCGTCATCGTTATTGTCATTATCATTATTATCGTCTTCGTCATTGTCAATCGTCATCATCATCATTATGATCGAAGTTATAGTCATCGTCATCGTCCTCGTCATCATCATCGTCATCGTCATCTATCATAGTCATCATCATCGTCATTGTCATCGTCATCTTTATAGTCATCGTCATCATAATCGGCATCGTCATTATCGATATTATCATCATCATTATCATTTTCTCGTCGTCATCATCATCATCATTGTTATTGTCATCAATATCATCATCGTCATCATCATCATCATCATTGTCATCGTCATCGTCATCATCATCGTTATCGTCGTCGTCGTCATTGTAATAGTCATCGTCAACATCATCGTCATCATCATCGTCATCATCACCATCATCATAATCGTCATCGTCATCAACATGGTCATCGTTATCGTCATTATCATCGTCATCGTCATCATCATCATCATCGTCGTTATTTTCACCATCGTCACCATCATCGTCATCGTCATCAACATCACCGTCATCGTTATTGTCACCATCGTCGCCATCATCATCGTTATTGTCATCGTCATCTCTATCGTCATCGTCATCATCAACGTCGTCGTCATCAATATCATCATCGTCGTCGTCGTTGTTGTCATCATAATCTTCCTCGTCATTGTCATTATCATCGTAATCCTTATCGTCATCGTTATCTTAATCGGCATCGTCATCGTCATCATCATTGTCATCGTCATCGTCATCCTCGTCGTCATTTTTATCGTCATTGTCATTACCATCGTCATCATCATCATTATCATCATCATCTTCATCGTCATCATCATCTTCATCGTCATCGTTATTGTCACCATCACCATCATTATCGTTATCGTTATCATCATCGTTATCTTCATCGTCGTCGTTATTGTTATCGTCATCGTCATCATTATTGCCATCATTATCATCATCGTCATCGACATCACCATCGTCGTCATCATCATCACCATCATCATCATCGTCATCATCATCTACATCGTCATCATCATCTTTATCGTCATCATCTTCATCATTGTCGTCATTATCATCATTATAGTCATCGTCATCATCATCGTTATCGTCAACGTCGTCTCATTCTTATCGTTATCGTCATCATTATTGCCATCATTATGATCACCGTCATCGTCATCGTCGTCAATAACGTTATCATTATCTTCATTACCATCGTCATCGTTATAGTCATTATCATCGTCATCATCATCATCTTCGTCGTTATTGTCACCATCGTCAGCATCATCATCTTTATTGTCATCGTCATTGTCATCGTCATCGTTATCATCATCGTCATCATCATCGTTATGATCATCGTAATCGTCATCGTCATTGTCCTCTTCATCATCATCGTCATCGTCATCGATCGTCGTCATCATCATCGTCGCCGTCATAATCAATATTATCATTATCATTATGGTCCTCATCATCATCATCACCATATTCGATATTGTCATCATCATAATCATCATCATTTTCATCATTATTGTAATCGTCACCTTCATCGGCATCATTATCCTTATCGTAATCGTCATCAACATCGTCATCATCATCATCATTGTCGTAGTCATCATCATTATCATCGTCTTTATTGACATCATCGTCATCGACCATTACTTTGATCATAACGATGATGATGACGATGACGATAACGATGACGATAAAAATGACGAAGACGATGATAATGATAATGAAAATAATGACGTCGATGATGGTGACAATGGTGAAAATAACAACGATGATGATGATGATGATGACGACGATGACGATGATAATGACGATAACAATGATGATGACGACGACGATAACGATGATCATGTAGATGACAATAATGATAATGATGACAATAACGACGATGATGATGACGATGACGATGAAGATGATGATGACGATAACGATTATGGTGGATGTAGCGGCGCTGTCGTCGCCGCCACAAGCGAAAAACACACCGAAGCCTAAATCGCGCTATCAACATTCCGAATCATAAACAGTATATATAGAACATCTCCGAACTATCACATGGAGCGTTGGCCGCTCCCCGGGCATAACAACTTGCCCGGCGGGAGATCTCCCCTTTTCCCACCACTGCCACAATGGTGACTACCCGACGTGATTACCTTCGGAAACTTCAAGCTTCATCATCGTCATAAAATACCCCACCCATTCGCTCCCGAGCAGATATAAACTGCAGTCTTCATATCCTGCAAACCATCTAGCTTCACAAGATTCATCGCAGCATTGGAATAATAATGCTTCCTGTTCCTTCAAGCTACTCTCTGCGCTATACAGTGTTTGGCACGGCTCTGAGCCTTACTGCTCGCCTCTGCCTCACGGCACTCTCGCAGATTACTTGCCTTCTTCTCGACTCACCGCAGACTACAAGGCAATCTCCTGGCACTTGCACATTCGTCGACAACTCGACTGCACTATCGACCTCCAGTCTGAGCAGGGGGGTGATGTAGCGGCGCTGTCGTCGCCGCCACAAGCGAAAAACACACCGAAGCCTAAATCGCGCTATCAACATTCCGAATCATAAACAGTATATATAGAACATCTCCGAACTATCACATGGAGCGTTGGCCGCTCCCCGGGCATAACAACTTGCCCGGCGGGAGATCTCCCCTTTTCCTACCACGGCCACAGTGATCATAATCGTCATCGTCATCATCATCTTCAACGTCATCGTTATTGTCATCATCATCATCGTCAGCAGCATCATAATCGTTATCGTCATCATTATCGTCATCATCATCATCATCATAGACATTATTGTCGTCATTATCATCATCGTCATAGTCATCAACATTGTCATAGTTATCGTCATTATCATCGTCATCGTCATCATCATCATCGTCGTTATTTTTACCATCATCACCATCATCGTCATCGTTATTTTCGTTTTCATTATCATTGTCTTTGTCATTGTCATCGTCATCGTTATCGTCATCGTCATCATCATCGTTATGATCGAAGTAATAGTCATCGTCATCGTCCTCGTCATCATCATCGTCATCGTAATCGATAACAGTCATCATCGTCATTGTCATCATCATCTTTATAATCAGCGTCATCATAATCGACATCGGCGTAATATGTCATCATCATTTGTCGTAAAGCGACAGTTAAAAACTAAAGAACCTAACCTAACAACAACGAAACAACAAAAAAACGAATAATTTATTTAAAATTTTAAAAAGATAAAAATATATGAAAATGATGGGGTTTCAAACGAGAAGCATCACGGAGTATGCACAGGCTATGCCTGTGGTAGGTGCGCAGCGCCTGATCTAGGCACACGCAACGTCTGGAGTAGGCACACGTAGCGCTTGAAGTAGGCACACACAGTGTCTTGAGTAGATACACGCAGCGTCTGGAGCAGGTACACGCAGCGCTTGAAGTAGGCAAACACAGCGCCCGGAGTACGCACACACAGCGCTCGGAGTAGGCACACGCAGCGCCCGGAGTAGGCACACACAGCGCTCGGAGTAGGCACACGCAGCGCCCGGAGTAGGCACACACAGCGCTTTGAGTAGGCACACGCAGCATCTGGAGTAGGTAGACGCAGCGTCTGGAGCAGGTGGAGGCGTAGGCGTGGCTAGGCGACGACTTCAGGTGAAGGCAGAGGCTTGCAGGATCCCGGGGCAGTGCGGATAAGTCCTTTAGGAGATGCTTTTAGTATGAAAGCTGAAGCGAGATTTTTTCTTGGCCGATTGTTCGGCTTTTATACTTTTTGACGGATCTGGGATAAGAACGGGAAATTATTTAAATTAAATTTGAAATTATTTAAATTAAAAGCAAATTTTTGTAAAAGACCAAGAGGAAAAGAGTATTTATGTGAAAGTATGGAGTAAAAACATCAGACCGGTAACGAATTTCGAATAAAAATTGCCATGACAACCAGATAAACAACGATGTCAAAATATGTCGAATTTTGGTTTTAGGCTCGTAATAGAGAAACGGCAAGATTTAAGTGAAAATGAGATATTATTGATAAAGGAAAAAAAGGTAGCGCAACAGTGCGCACGAAGCCCGAAATTGCAGAGTTACGGAGAACTAAATAAAAGATCGAAAAAGGTAGACTCCATTGACACCGATTTAAAAAGTGCTGATAACTTGAAAATACGAAGTGAAAATGATTTGTTATTGTGTTCTTATGGTTTAAAAACGTTACAGGATCCTATGGAAATAAAAGGTGATGCAAAATATCCAGTTTTGAGGCGAATACAGAAAATCAAAAACAGAATAAAAAAAATAACTTTAAAATAGTGTAAAATGATATGTAAGTAGCATAACACTACACATTATCGTCATCATCATCATCATCATCATCTTAATTGTCATCATCATCATCATCATCGTTAATTGTCATCATCTCATCATCATCGTCATCGTCATCATCATCGTATCGTAATCGTCACCGTCACTGTCATCGTCATCATTATCCTCAACGTAATCGTCACCAACATCGTCATCGTCATCTTAATCGACATCATCATCGTCATATTCATCGTCATCGTCATTGTCATCGTCATCTTTATCGTCATCGTCATCACCAACGTCATCGTCATTAATATCATCATCGTCGTCGTCGTTATTGTCATCATCATCGTTATCGTCATTGTCATCATCATTGTCATCGTTATCGTCATTATCATCGTCATCGTCATTATCATCGTAATCGTCATCGTCGTCGTCATTGTCATCATCATCGTCATCGTCATCGTCGTCATTTTCATCGTCATCGTCATCTTCATCGTCATCGACATTGTCATTGTCATCTTTATCGTCATCGTCAATTAAGAAATCTATTGCGGACCTTACTGAACATTTCAACTTAAGGATGGCCGAGTTCCAAAAAGATCTCAAGAGTTCAATTCCAGCAACAAGCCCCACTTCAAATATTAATCACCAATTTCATTCATTCCGGTGCTTTGTTTTAACTGCTTTAGAAAATTTGCAATTGGAAGTTGAACTATTAGCTCAACAAAATGATAACATGGAGATGAGATCTCGAAGAAAAATCCTGCTTGTTCATGGTATAGCCGAAGACAAGAAAGAGAACACATCCTCTAGTGTTGTGAAGGTTCTATCCAACCACTTGAGTCCCTGGTATTACCACTGATTCGATAGGCCGTTCACATCGTCTTGGTCAACCTGGCACTGATAAACCTCGGGCTGTGCTTGTAGAATTTAGAGACTATGGGACAAAAGAGAAGATATGGCTTGCAAAGAAAAATTTGAAAGGCACTGGGATTACATTGTCCGAATTTCTTACAAAGGGTCGCCATACTACATTCCAAGCGGCGAGTCAACGTTTCGGAGTTTCAAGTTGCTGGACGAGGGATGGCATCATCTTCGTACTAGGACCTGATCAAGTACGCCATCGTATCCATTCTAGGCTTGATCTTGATGCTATCTCGACCTCTAAATCGGTAACTCAAGCCACATCTGCTGCAACCTCGGTTCCAAGTGTGGTGAAAGACTCCAGATCTGCTCAAGTAAGAACCAAGAGAATTGGTAAAAATGAATCCTTATTTGGAGCTGGTTAAATCTGTTGTATCTTGTGCGACTACCGTATTTCTGGTTTGTTTACATTCTTTTGTTGTAAAAATTTTTTAATTTATTTTTTTAATATATATTACCATTTTCCTTTTATATAGACGATGTGAGGTAGTTACTTGTAACTTATATATAAAAAACCATTTCAATGTAAACAAACAATAAGTGAATTGACATGACATTGGATAATAGTTGCAGATTTTTATTTCTTTCTTCGGCGAAGGCAAAGGTCTCATAGTCATACAGCCGTACCTTATGGAATTTTTGACTTCTTTTCTTATCACAAAGCAACATTTCTATAACAATTCTCTTTGTGCTCATTACTTATTTTTATTTGTAAAATGCTATTTGTTTACAGTTTTTGGTAGTTTTGTTTTGTTTAAAAATTGTTTCTTTTTTATTTCAGTTATTCTGAAGCATCTATTATTATTATTATTATTTTTGATTCATCTCTTTCAGACTGCTGGCGAAATAGAGATCTGTTTAGGTACTTACTTATATATTTAATTTAACCATTTAGTTTTATGTTTATATATCATATATATTATATATTTTATTTCATTTTACTATATTGTTAGATAATTATGATGTAGGTAATGATTCTGACGATTTCCTGTCTTTGTCGTCAAATGATAATGCATCTAGTGAACTCAGCTTCCACAGCACAACATCTACAATTCCGATAAATGTAGCACTTAATTCATATTTCTCAGATTCCCTGAAAAACTTTAATGTAATTCATATAAACGCCCAAAGCATTCCGGTTCATTATCCCGACATGCTTGCGTCCTTTGAATCCCATAACATTCACGTCATTCTAGTCTCTGAATCTTGGTTGAAACCATGCTTGCCATCCACTTCTTATTCATTACCAGGATTTCATCTTATTCGCAAAGACCGTATTGGAAGGGGTGTGGAGGTGTGGCAATTTATCTCCGTTCTTATTTACCTTTTGCGGTAGTAAGCTTGTCCCCCCAACCATCTCCTTCTAATGCGGCTGAGCATCTCTTCATTGAAGTAACCCTATCCAATACGAAAATTCTTCTTGGTGTTTGTTACACTCCTCTCCATATTGACTATTTCTCTTCTTTCGAATATTTATTAGAAAATTTAATCCCATTATATACCCACACTATAATCATGGATGACTTTAAGACATGCCTACTCAAGGGTGACTATCGGTATGAAAAGCTAAAATCTTTAACCGAGGCATGTAATCTACATATATTACCACTATCTGCTACGCATAAAATGCCTGACTGTACTCCATCACTACTTGACTTAATCATTGTATCCTCTCCAGATTTTATCCTGCAGCATGGCCAGCATGAAGCTGATCTCTTCTCTTATCATGATCTCTTGTTTCTTACGTACAAGGTCCGTCCTCCTAAAGCAAAATCGAGAATCCTTCTGCAACGTAATTTTGGTGGAATGGACAAAGAACGTCTTCTGGAACATGCTAGTGGCATGGACTCGTCAGCTGTTGAAAATGCTGGAACAGTCGACTTGAAAGTCGAGTTATTTAACTCCTTTCTTATCCAACTTTATGACATCCATGCCCCAGTAAAACCAAAAAAAATGAAACATATACCAGCACCTTGGTTAACTGATAGTCTAAAAAAACTTAACTAAACTAAACTAAAAGTAAGTTAAAAGCTGATAAATCTGAGAAAAACTTACGATATTATAATAAAGTACGGAATCGCTGCAATACATTGTGCAGGGATGCACAAAGATGCCATATTAATAAATCCGTCGAAAACGGCGACGCAGTCAAAGTTTGGAAGTTTCTTCAGTCTCTTGGAGTTGGTAAAACATCCAATAATTTTCCTCATCATAACGTTGATGTGGAATTCCTTAATAAATATTTCACCTGTTCTAGCACATTAAATAGCTCAGATAAAGACCGGACTCTGAGTATTCTTTCTTCAATACCAACTCCTGATTTTCCACTTTTTTTCTCTAGATAGTGATGTTAAAAATTTTTTTTTTGGGTATGTATGTAGAATTTGTTATCTTTACCATCTTGAATAAATCCATCTCCTCTTCAAAAATTTTTGATGTTTGAAAAAGTGCACTTGTAACGCCTCTCCCAAAAAAAGCCCATGCTTTACATTTTTCCGACTTTCATCCTATCTCAATTCTTCCTTTTTTATCCAAACTCCTGGAGAAACTAGTTTTCTTTCAGTTAAATCTCTACCTAAATAGAAATTGTATCTCTCCAATCTGGTTTCCGATCGGGTCATAGAACGACAACAGCATTGGTTAAAGTTACCGATGACATTCGACGAGGCATGGATAACAAACAGCTCACTGTGTTGGTATTGCTTGATTTTAGCAATGCGTTTAACATTGTTGATTTTGACATCTTATTGAGTGTGTTACGTTCTATTAACATATCTCCTCCGGTGATTGGCTGGTTTCATAGTTATCTTTACGGCCGACGGCAGCGTATTCGCATCGAAGATGAGTTCTCATATTGGTGCGAATTGCGGGCTGGTGTGCCTCAAGGTGGTGTACTGTCTCCTTTACTTTTTGCTATATTCATTAATTCTATCTCTCAAAATATTACTTCTCTCTATCAAATGTATGCAGACAATCTCCAAATCTACACTCAGTGAACTCTGTTAAATCTGCCTTCTGCTGTTGCCACCATCAACAATGACTTAGCGGCGATAAACCAGTGGAGTCAGCGTTATGGTCTAAAAATTAATCCGTTCAAGTCCCAGGCTAAAGTTATTGGTGGTGGAGGGATGGTCTCCAGAGTTGACTGGAACAACCTACCCTCGGTGACATAAAATGACGTTGTCATACCCTACAGTAAATCTGTAAAAAATCTGGGGATATATCTAGATTCTACCTCGTCGTGGTCGCAGAATTTAAAACAAGTGAGCAAAAAGGTGTTTGCTACTATGGGTTCACTTCGTCGTTTACGTTCTTTTCTCTCCATTTCCACTATGATTATGTTAGCACAATCCTTACTTTTCTCTTCTCAATTATGCGGGCGCAAGTTATGTCGATTTAACTGAAGACCAACTGAACAAACTTGAGCGAATTCAAAATATTGCAATTAGGTTCATATTTAGTTTACGCAAATATGATCATGTATCTGAATATCGTTTACAGCTTAAGTGGTTACCCATTCGCTTTCACCGGAATCTGCAAACTGTATCTCTTTTGTACTGTGTGTTGTTCAATCCTTTGACTCCAAGCTACTTGAAGGAAAACTTTAAGTTTCTTGGTCACGATCGACCTGATAGAGTTCTTCGGTCAGCCGGCGAACTAATTCTAGAACCATGTTCATTTCGAACAAAATTTATGAAATATTCTTTTACGAGCCAAGCCATAAGGTTATGGAATGAACTTCCACTCCAAATTCAACATGCACAAACTTTGGAAAGTTTCAATAGTGACGTCAAGAAGCATTACCTAACACTTTGTGGTTATTGATAAACAATTCTAGCAACAGATAGTTATTCTGTGTTTTTCTTTTTTTCCTCTTTGTTTTGTATTTATTTATTTATTATCTATATATATATATATATATATATATATATATATATATATATATATATATATATATATATATATATTTATTTATTATATATGTATGTTTATTTTATTATTATTTTTAATGTATTAGTATTTTAACAAATATAGTTTAGTTTATTTAGATATTAGAATGAAAGTGTAACATAAAACGCACCACCTCCTACTGTTCTAAATTCCAGTTTCTACTTAGCCCAAAGGTTGTCTGGAAGAGATCGCTCTTTAGCGATAAGACCGACTTATTGTACATATGTATATATTAAGTTTTCTCTGTAATGTATTTATTCGTTGTATATGTGTGGTGTACAATAAAGTATATACTACTACTACTACTACATTTATTATAAAACAAAGTAGAAATAAAGAAGCATAATATTAATAAAAAAATTATTAATTAAGAAGAAAAGAAAAAAAATTTAAAATATAAATATATATAAGTGCTTTACGTGCTGGGCAAAAGACCGCCAACTTTCTAACTCCCGGTCATCATTATCTTCACGGTTATCGACATCGTCATCGTGATCGTCGTCGTCATCGTCAGCATCGTCATCGTCACAGTCATCGTCATCGTCATCCTCATCGTCATCGACACCGTCATCGTCATGATCATAGTCATCATCATCGTCATCGTCATCTTCATTGTCATCGTCATTGTCATCATCATCGTCATCATCATCGTCCGTCATCATCTCATCGTCATTGTCATCATCATTGTCATCATCATCGTTCGTCATCATAATCATCATCATCATCATCGTCATCATCATCATCGTTATTGTCATCATCGTCATCGTCATTATCATCGATATCGTCATCGTCGTCGTCATTGTCATCATCATCGTCATAGTCATCATCATCGTCATTATCATCATCATCACTGCTATTGTCATCATCAACATCATCGTTATTGTCATCATCATCATCATCATCGTAATCGTTATCGTCATCGTCATCATCTGTGTTCTCGTCGCCGTCATCATCATCATCATCATCGTCGTCGTCGTTATTGTCATTTTTTCCATCGTTATTGTCATCATCATCATCATCATCATCATCATCATCACCATCGTTAATGTCATAATCATGATCATCGTAATCGTCATCGTCATCCACATCGTCATCGTCGTCGTCAACGTCATCGTCATCATCATCGTCATTGTCATCGTCATCAAAATCGTCATCGTCATCGTCACCATCATCGTCATAGTCCTCATCATCATCATCATCATCGATATTGTCATTATAGTAATCGTCATCGTCATTTTCGTTGTCACTGTCATCGTCGTCGTCATCGTCATCATCAACATCGTAAGAAAACCTGTTTGATAATAAAGAAACTTGAGGACTTACAAAATATAAGAGGAGCGCGGCAGTCTAATTGCATCAACTAGTCATTTTCATCGTCATCGTCATAGACATCGTCATCGTCTTCGGTATCGTCATCGTCATCGTCATCACCATTATCATGGTCATCTTATTCGTCATCGTCATCGTGATGAGATTTTAGAAAAGATGCACGAAATTTATATAACAACGTGGTGAAACTTGATATCTACTACTATTTGAGAAGAAATTTTAAGAAGGATATTTGTGAAGGCAACTATTTAATTTTTTTGTCATCAAAAGAGTATGTAAGTAACATATGACACCATTCATTTCAGAAGTTAAAGATATACAAAAAGAAAGCTAAGAAGTTAAATAATAGTGACAGAATACAGACAAAAGCATGAAGCGGATTACTCCAAATTTTTCTGATAAAGTCTCAGTTAGGCAGAAAATTTAAAAGAAACTCGCTAAACGTTGTGTCGTATAAGCTGTTTTGTATTTTGGTTTTTATTTAAACTGTTATAATATTATCTCCTAAAGTGTAGGAACCTTGTAGAGGCATAAGTCATAACGTATTCTCGTGTTGATTTTTTTTTATTGTCAACTCCACTGGTAGACTCGATCGATTTCACTTCGGAAATGACTGTGATTTAAGTTTTCAAACCTACTACTTATTTCACCAGCAGAATTTTTTTATATAACTAACTTTATAAAATAACACTGTCACAGTAGCCTGGGTCACTTAACTTTTATATAACATCACTTAATTTAAATAATTTTGTACATTTAATATTTATATCGCATTAAATATTAAGATATTTTTCGAGCAAATTAAGCACTTTTTAATTAAATATATAAGTTCATTGTAATAAATAAGATACTGGTAATGCCAACAATAGCAACTTTTTATAGTTATTCGTATATCCTTGACTGGGAACAGGCCACCTTTAATTTCTAAGAGCCCTTTTGGCTTCGATTTTAGGGCAAGGAAATATCTGCTTCGCTACTCTTATGCGTAATAGCGGACTACACATGTCTTCGAATTGGTGTATTTTATTGCTGCCAGAGGGAATCGAACCCAAGTGGCTCGCATAATGTGAATTTAAAAGCAAGCTAATTACCTGATTTAATAAATAAAACGCAAGAGGTGTGCAACGAACTTTTACCGGCTAAAGAATAAGAAGAATTCGAATCCATCCTTTAATGAATAAAAAGCTTCTTTTTTTGTTTCTGTTGCGGTTATTATGTCAACGATAAACTTAAGATGAGCCGGCTAAACTTAAATTTAGTTTTGAACAAAACCGCAGATTTTTATTTAATTTAATTTAAACCCAGGTTCTTTAATAGAGTAAAGGTGATAAACGAGAACACATTCCACCCACCTTATGGTAGGCGGATGCCTCAAATATCTGCATCTATCCTCGATTTAGAATCATATGGATTAATATACGTTGTCAACCCTAGGGACTGAGATGAAATGCCTTGTTTCCAGTAAAAAAGTATCCGGTTCTATACACTCAACATATAAAACACAGCAGCATTAAGCTCCTATGTAACACTGGAATTTATTAGGTATATTATTCCTTCTGTCTTTACCCCTTAAAAATTAACTTGACGTAATGTATATATTTTGTGAAGCCTTTAAGCAAAACTTAAAATGGAATCAAACTATTTAATTTTCTAAATTAACTTCACAGGATTGCTAGTTAACCTGCAAAGAATGGCCTTTGTCGAGTAATTTTATTTCAAAATCAGAGCAGTTTGTTCTAAATCCAAAATCGTTTAAAAGAAGTAACAAATTAATCCGAACGCTCGTTGTTCTAGCTCTATCATATTCTTTAGTTGCCACTTATCTTGATAGACCTCCGAGTTACAATATAGCTGAAAATGAATAAAACGTACAAGCTTTTAGCTTAATTCGTTCATGTTATCGTAGAGCCGGAATAGGATTGGTTTTGGCATATTCATTGAGACAGCTCTTTTACAGCTTTCTTGCTGCGCTGAAACATTTTAACTTTTTGTTAAAAGCATTTTAAAGCACTTTTTAGATTTAAAACTTTTTCACCATATGGCTTTATCTGAAGTGAGATTAATATTAGAACAATTTTAAGTAAACAATTACATAATATTTTAATAACAATCATAAGAAATAATTCACATTTCGTTTTTAGATTTTGCTGTGAATATTCTATCAGTTTTAAGGCCGTATGTCAAAGAAAATAAGGGGAGGCCCGATGAATCTGGTAACTTAGGAAGGAAAGGTGAAGCTTTTCGGGTACCCTCCAGCAGATATGGGGAGACTATCCCACGACCCACGCACTATCACTGCTGATAACAAGAGGGCTACTTCAATTCTCGCCTAAAGAAGGAAAAGCGGAAAATAATACCATTCAGCAAGAGAACGCAATCGACATTCTCAGTGCTATACCAAAACAGTGCTATTTTATAAAATACTTAGTTTTAAGATTTAACTTTTGCAAATAATATACTTAAATCGTTATGTAGATGCAAAAAAAAATATAATGTTCATAGATTTTATTATTTCATTTATAATATTCACGTTAATAAATTAAAAAATATTTATGAAGATAAATAAGAAATAATATAAATCTAATCTAGAATTTTCCAGGTACATTTAGTAATAGTTATTTAAGGAACCTCATAGATGTTTATATTTAATTGGCGAAGGCTTAGTTTTGGAATTTTATTGTGTATTTATGGTGATTTCACCACTAAAACACAATTTGCATTCATACCTTTTTATTTATTGACAACTGTCAGATGTTAGTTTTATTCATAAGCCTAAAATATGGCTTTCATACTCTACATTCTCTCCACCACTAAATATAAAAAACATAAATAATAATAAAAATGTATAACTAATCATGTAATTTTTTAAAATTTATATTTTGGATTCGGATTTCTAGTTGAGCGGGGAGGCAGCCCTTGCTTTGGTACCTCTAACTGTTGATTGGATTTACTGCCAGAACTTTCGCCCTCTTCTCCTCTTAATAACAAGGAGTCGGAAGTTATGGTATCAACTTCTGTAGCCTTCACGTTACAATTAGCTTGATCTGTACTCAACATATTAGAAAAATTTTCAAAATTACTCAAATCTAAATCATATTCTTCTTTTTTATTTCCTTTGTATGCAACAATATGATCGACATGTTTTTTATAATATTTATTTAACTCCGGAAAAAAAACAGTAAATAATCTATTTCCTAATTTATTTTTAACTACGCCGAACTTCCACGTGTAATCGTTTCCGTTGTTGTAAAAAACTTGATCCTCTTTGTTAAAATTGCTCTTTCTTCATCCATCATAGTTTTCACTCTGTAAGATCTGTTTATTTGCAACATTATTGGTTGTGGATGATAAAGATGTATCATTTGTGTTCTGCTCAAATTTGTGGTCCCTAAGTAAGTCGAGTCGACAGCGGAGCGGACGGCCTAACAACATTTCCGAAGACCAAGACCGAATTTCTGTAACTAAAAAGGAACTCATTTAATTTATTAATTATCGATTTTTGATCCGTATGTGTGTTTAAAATAATCCTTAATCCCCTTTTAACTATCTTAACGGTATTTTCTGCTTGCCCATTTGATGCTGGGTGATATGAAGGAGAAGTTAAATGTTGTATACCATTTGACAAACAAAACTTTTCAAATTTTTTTGAACAAAAATGACTCGCTTTATCGGTTACCAGAGTGCGACATAACCCAAATCTACTAAAAATCTCTGAAAGTTTGCTGATAATTGCTTCACTATCTGTATTATTCATTTGGAAACATTCAATCCACTTTGAATGTGCGTCTACAATAATTAAAAATTGTTTGTTGGATAAAGAAAACATATCTAAATGAACTCGTTCCCAAGGACGTTTGCCACGGCCACGATGCCAGTGGAGTACGGGGTGGATCATAGCGGAGCGAGTTGCAAATACTACACGATCCTATTATTTCTTCAATCTGCTTATCAATATTGGGCCACCACATATGCGATCTCGCTTCATTTTTAGTCTTTACAATGTCAAAATGGGCCTTATGCAATTCTTTAAGTAGACTTTCCCTAAAAACTGTTGGTATAACCACTTTATATCCCCTTAATAGGCACCCATTTTCGACACTTAAATCATTTTTACATTTAAAGTACGATTTAAGTTCCGCATTTTGCATTTTCAAAGGCCAGTAATTTATAACAAAATTTATAATTTTACAGACAATTTGATCTTGCATAGTTTCTTTCCTAATGTCATTTACCGTAATAAGTTTTAACATATTATCGTTAATAAAATTAATAATTAAATTAGTTTGATCTGGACTACATTCAATATTTTCAGAACAATTATTTACTGAACATCGTGATAAAAAATCGGCAACATTATTTTCACTTTTGACATACTCTATCGTAAAATTGTATGCGGACAAAAATATAGCATATCGTTGAAGTCTATTCGCTACCATTTCAGGTATACCTTTTTTACCACCAAAAATCGACACCAAGGGTTTGTGATCAGTTCGCAAAATAAAAGGGGTCACGCGGCCGTATAAATAGTGGTGAAACTTTTTTATAACAAAAATGATAGCAGTCGCTTCTTTTTGAATTTGTGCATAATTTCGTTCGGCATTTATGAGAGAACGCGATGCGTACGCCACCATTCGATCTACGCCGTCAAGCTGTCGCTGAGCGAGCACTGCGCCGAGCCCGTTCGGCTCTGCATCAGCCGTCACTATTGTAATTAGGTCGGGATTATAATGTGCCAACACCCTGTCAGACGCTAATTCATAATTGATTTTATTGAATACTTTTAAATGTTTTTCTTGCCACACCCACTTTACGCCTTTTTTAAAAAGTGAATGCAAGAGTGCTAATAAAGTCGATGCATTAGGCACAAATCCTCTATAATAATTAATAAGCCCTAAAATGATTTCAATTCCGTGACATTATTAGGACATTTACTTTCTAATATTGCTTTCACTTTATTGTTTGATTTACGTAGTCCTGACTTATCTATGATAAAACCTAAATACTCAATTGAGTCTTGAAATAAATCGCATTTATCTTGCTTTAATCTAAGTCCTGATTCCTGTAATTTTCTAAGTACTTGATGTAATCGTTTTAGGTGTTCCTCTTTTGTTGGGGCCGTTATTAAGATATCGTCTAAAAATACGCAGACTCCCTCAATACCTGATAAAAGTTGATCAATTGTTTTATTTATTGTATGTTACGGTCTGACCGAAGAACGGGTACGATCGGTGTCGCTACCTCTGAATAATCTACGCGCTCTAAAATACCTAAATCTAAAAGTTTATTTAATTCTAACTCAACTTTATGTTTCAAAGCTAATGATACTGTTCTCGGCTTAAAAAACTTTAACTGAGCATCATTTTTTATTTTTAAAGTTACTTTATATTTATTAAAAGTTTCCAGCCCATCTGTAAACAACTGTGAATATGTTTCCTTCAATTCTTTTACTAAATCGTTATGTGCTAAGTTGTTACAGTTACCAATACACAGTTTCATATTAAAACACGTTATAAAATTACGACCCAACAGAACTGGTTGTTTTATCTCTGTTTTTATAATATAAAAACGTCACCGGTAATAAACAATAGCCCAAAGGAGATATTTTCGAGCCATTATAACAATTTAAAATAACGTTACAATGGTTTAATGAATAATTATTGTGAAAATATGATTGATAAACCATTTCCGGTAGAACAGATACAGCACTACCACTATCTATTTCACATAAAATTCGCTTTGACGCTATCGACACGACCAGTCTCATCGGCATACCGTTTAAACACCCAATATTATACAAATCATATGAAATACCTTTTACTAAATCATTTTCATCCACCTCCAAATAATTGTTGCTCTTATATGTACTCTTACAAACACGTTTTAAATGCCCTTTTTTATTTTTGACAAAAATAATTCGCATATCGACATTTATCTTTAGTATGGTTCTTATATCCACAAACCGAACAAGATGTGTTTGTTGCTGTAGTTTGACGAACAGCATTTTCTTGGGCTCGTAAAGCGAACACCGGTTGCGCTGTCGCTGATGATGTGACTAGTCCCTCATCTTGCAATGACCTTTGAACTGCAACTCGAGCACATTGTACACTTTGTGCTAACTCCAACGCTTTGTTGAATGTTAAGCTATCGATATTTTCACTAAAAAGCTTTTCTTTTTCCTTGACATTTGCCAATCCAGAAAACTTGTCCCTATGTTTGCCTTGCCTGTCTTTGTTTGCTTTTGCATTCTTTCGCGTCATTTTTGGGCAAAACTGGTTGTCAATTTTTTCAATGAGAGTGTTATAAGCTAAATTTTCTAGTTTTAACGGAAAAACCAAGTCACGTACTAGGCGATATGTATCTTCTGCTAATGAGGTAAGCAAAAAAGCTCTTCTCATAACTCCTGTTTTATCAGTATCATCATGATAATTATTTGCCATACAAAACTGGACAAATCGACTCTTAAAAATATCCTACTCTTGCATATGGTGATCAAATGTGAGGCTGTTGCCAAACAACACATTTCCTTTATTCGACATTATTTCTTGGTATCTATTTCACTTTAAATATTGCACTCAATAATACGTGAATAAGATCCTCGTCGCCAAATATTGTGTATTTATGGGGATTTCACCACTAAAACACAATTTGCATTCATACCTTTTTATTTATTGACAACTGTCAGATGTTAGTTTTATTCATAAGCCTACAATATGGCTTTCATACTCCACAAATTTATTATGATTTTATAATATTATATATATTATAATTAACTTAGTTTTTGAATTTAATATTTCTTAGCTTATTATATACAGGAAATATGTCTTGCAAATCATATAGAAGTTAATTCGAATTCAAACGACACAGTAATTTTGGTACATTTTACAGTTGGTCATTTTTACGGTCTATAAAACACAAGCCGTTAAACCTAATTTTCTTGTGTCATAGAACGATTGACTGAAATTTAGGACGTTTCTCCTAAGGGCACTACCTTCTAAGGGCACTTAAAATGTGTGTAGAACTAAAATAAAAGTGGCCGTAATAGCTGATGGAAGATCGAGACGGACGGACAGTCGTAAATGACTTGTCGACCAGAATAATTTATTATATTTTCTTTTCTTACTTTACATGATATTACACTGCACAGTACACAGTGTATCCTACATAGTTCTTTCCAAAAATAGGTCAATCGGCACACGTGATTTGAAAGTCTTAACTTTTTACGCTGATGTAAATATGCGTAACATATTTTTTTAGTTAAAGATAAGTAATACAAAATGAAAATTGTTAATGATTGTTTTAGAGATTCGGTAATTAAGTAAAAATATGTAAGGGGTTACTGACTAAATGACAGGGTGAGAAATTGTTTGAAAAGATAAAAACATGGTTCGCAAGATGTTGCGACCAGGATTGATAAAGGGAAGCTTTGGTAGTTTGACACGATGAAATAATGAATGAGGAAAAAGTGACAAACCAAATTAATGCTGCAGTAGTGAGTGCCAGTGTCGGTAGATGAGGCCTTAAATAAAAGTTTATGAACCAAGTTGGCGACATATTGAATAAGGGGCAAATTAAGAATCTTTTAACTGATGAACATGTATGCGTAGGTAAATGGCTGTGGAGAATCGAGTGTAGTGTGTCAAGATCGTACCAAATGAAACTCCGTAGTCTCTGCTTATATGCTTCTTGGTGACAGACAGAGTATATATTACAAATGTTATGATAATGCTAACTAATCAAGGACAAAAAGTCAACTTTCTAAGTAATGATTGACGTACAATAGTAAGAACAGAGCCAGTATGCGCCTAATTGTGCTGTTGATCATTTCATCATTTCATCACTCTTTGCGGCACAGATTTAAATTTTCAGAAAAAATCAAATATTTTTGTTTATATCAAATAAGATAAGGATAGATAGTAGGTAAGGAGTTTTGTCGGTTTTTCATATGTAGATTGGTAGTGGAGTTATATACTGGGTGGTTATCATGGGTGACCACTGTGAGGAAAATGGCTAAATATAGTCTTTATTTTTTATTATCAAACAATTATGTTTTACACATTTTTGAAAAATAAATGCTTCATACAGACATAAAAAATACGAAATTTGTTATCAGTACTCAATAGAAGATAAAATTACTGTTAATGGTTATCTCCAAAGCAAGAATCTTCTGTCGACTGGTCTTCTAGGCCTACACAAAATTTCCTTTTAACTTGGCCACCTAAATCTTTCTCCACTATATTCCCAACGTTTCCAGTGTATAATTCAAAGTGAAGACAATAGCCAGTAGATGCATACTTTGTCCAAATCTTGTATCCTCGTTTTGTTGTTTTTGGGCATATACTGCCTGAGCGAACTCCTTCCTTTGAATTTCACCATTGTCTATTCTATTGTAATATTCTTCGTAGGGTAATAGTTTTTTTTATGAATCTTTTTTTTTTAGAAATGTTTTTTAAGAAGAAGTCTCTAACTTTATCAATAATTAGTCTGATTTTGTACAATTTGCCATAGTTAGAATCTGTCCTACTAGGAATAAAGTTTTTATCATTCATATGTAAGTACCCTAGAATCCAGGAAAATTTTGTCAGAGACGATATGTACTTGTCTCGTAAGTCGGTTGAAGAAGACCAGTAATCTTGGTAACTCGGGCTCTTTTTGATTCCCAATCCCTAAATTAAGCAATAACAATTTCATTTCTTCTTCTGTGACAGGCTTAAAGTCCTCTTTTTTTGTTCTGCATATTAGTTAGTAAGAAACGTAATATATTGAACAAGCTCTTTTGTCCAGAATAATGGAAAATCTGTAGTTGTATAGATTTCAAAATGCCAAATATTTCTCTACAACTCTAGCTAAATTCTCTACACTTGAAGTAATAAAGAAAATTGAAAGTCTAAAGTCGGACAAAAGCAAAGGGCCGGATGTAATCCCAAATGAAGCACTAAAATTATACTAGAACCATACATAACAACACTGTTTAACAAGATTCTAAACGATAGAGCGATACCGAAAGAATGGGCACAATCGGACATAATTTTACTCTACAAGAAAGGAGACCCTGCCGTTATTGGAAACTACCGACCAATAAGCTTACAATCAAATATGTACAAACTGTTTGCTTCCTGTCTTGAGGATCGCCTAGCAAAGTTCACAGAGAAATTTCAACCGCCGAAACAAGCAGGTTTCAGGAAAAACTTCTCAATAATAGATCACATCCACACTTTAAATTTGATTATAGAGAAATATATAGAGCACAATAGACTACTCTACCTGGCATTTATCGACTACGCAAAAGCCTTCGACTCTATATCACATACGAGCATGTGGAAATCTCTAAATGAGTGCGAAGTACCATCAGAGACTATAATCTTATAAAGACATCTACTACAAAAGCAAAAGTCGTGTAAAGTTAGAGAGACATGGCCCTGAAATAAACATTTGTAGAGGCGTCAGACAGGGTGACCCCCTGTCACCTAGAATTTTTATAACTGTGCTACAAAATATAATGAAAACTCTGAACTGGGAAAAGACAGGAATAAATATAAATAGCAAACTCCTCAGTAATCTTCGATTTGCGGATGACATCATACTCTTTTCCGAAATAGCATCTCAATTACAGAAAATGATTAATGAACTAAATGATGTAAGCAATACGATTGGCTTAGAATAATACAAGACTAAAGGCATGACGAACCACCATATTATACCAATAAGGGTCAATAACAATATACTAGAATGCGTTCAAAGCTATGTTTACCTGGGACAACAAGTATCTTTCTCTAAGACAAGACACGAAGATGAGGTTAAAAGACGAGTTAACATAACCTGGAATAAATTTGGAGATAAGAAACCCTAAAATCAAAACTCCCTATAAAACTGAAGAAAAAAATAATGGATACATGTTTACTACCCTGCCTTACGTATGGCTGCCAAACATGGATATACGATAATAAGACTAAAAACAAAATACAAGTATGTCAAAGAGCAATGGAAAGGAGTATACTAAATATACAAAGAAAACACAGAAAAAGAAACACAGACGTAAGAAATACAACAAAAATAAGAGATGCTTTGGAACATTCCCAAAAACAAACATGGAAATGGGTGGGTCATATTGCGCGTATGGCCAAAGAAAAATGGACACAGAGAGTAACTAACTGGCGAGGACCACCAAACAAAAGGAACAGAGGTAGACCGAGAGAAAAATGGGTTGACGAAATAATAAGAAAAGCCGGTGAAAATTGACAGACAGACGTGGAAAAAAATGGAGGAGGCCTTCACCCGTTGAGGGGTCCGTAATGAATTATGTTATGAATTTTGTACGTAAACTGATTTGAAAATTTATTTTATTTAATATTTTGAAATTTATATAAAATTTAAAAATTATTCGATTGTAAATTATTAATTCTGATAATTATGAATTGTATTATTTTGTTATATGTATGCATAATTATGTAATCGTAATCTTAAGATACTATTGTTCTTTTTAAGTCATTCATTATGGAAATAAAGAAGGCTATATATATATATATATATATATATAAACGTTTCTTACTAACTAATATATATATATATATATATATATATATATATATATATATATATATATATATATATATATATATAAGTTAGTAAGAAACTTAATATATTGAACAAGCTCTTTTGTCCAGAATAATGGAAAAATCTGTAGTTGTATATATTTCAAAATGCCAAATTTTTTTCATAAAAAAGTAGTCTCTATATATAAGTTTTAATGGTTTTAAGTGATGTGGGTCGGTGCGGTCGCGTGCGGGATTTGCCGGGCGCATGCAACTGCATGGGATTTTTATGGGGATTGAAGAGTTAATAAAATAAAATTTATTGTTATTATTATTATTATTAGTCCTGAGCAATCTCCATCCTTCAATATGCAGGAAGCATTGTCATCGCTCCATATAATCCTAAACTCCACTTTATGATACGCGGCTGCCACTCTAGAACTTTTCTTCCCCATCAGCTATCGGTTCACAGAACTAAATAAAATATACAAAATAAAAATACCATCCAAGAATGATGGAAATAAACTGATATTTTTAGATGTGTATTATAATAAGAAATATATAAATACAAAATATTTAGTAGCAAATATGTGGTATATTAATATGTTCGTCTCATGAGGGACTCACCTACATCTACACTAATATTATAACGAGGAAAAATTTGTTTGTTTGAATTGAATAGGCTTCAAAACTACTTGACCAATTTGAAAAAATCTTTCACCATTGGAATCGTCCATTATCCCTGATGAAAATATTCTCAAAAAAGTTAGGGATCCGTATAAAAACTTCGTTTATGTGAAAAATATACTAAGAGAATCCTTATATCGCGTACGCTGCTGAAACTATTGATAAGAGAGCAACGTAATGTACTACAGCCTACTCCGTATCTACTCCGCCCAGAAGAAGTGAAATTGCTCACGGCTAAGCAACTACTTCTATTCATTGAAGACATAGGGCCGTGCAGTGAACTATAGACATAGCAGCGATCATAATAGATCTTTTAGGTCGCAGTGATAGTGGTCTCTTTTCCTAGACCTGCATAGCTTTATTTATTTTATTTTTTAATATATTATTACATTCATTAATTACACATTACTTTACGGTACACTCATACGTTTATAGAAACTTTACCGTATACCGGTATCACCGACAATAACAAATATGAAGGTGTAGTAAGAAAAAAAAAATACACTTAGTATTTATTAGTTAATTGCGTGACCTTCTATTGCAAATGCATCACGCATGGATCCTATATATTTTACAGGACGCTTGTTTTAGGGCGTTATAGTAGTATTTATTATTAAAACATATTATGTATAATTTAAATTAGTAGTAATGCATTCCATAAAGTAGTTTTTAATTTTAATTTAATATTTTTTTGATTCAGTTCTGATTTTACAGATACTGGTAGCTGGTTAATTAGGTTAGAGATCACATATTCTAAGGTACCGTTGCCATATAAATTATTGTATTTAGGTAAGGCTAGTTTAGGTTATCCCGAGTTGCGAGTATGGACATTTTTTAACTGTTCATGGAAAAATTCTTCTATAAAAAGGAAACTTTACGTTTTCGTGTATAGGTATAAATTTGCCATGACTATAAAGGTTATGGTAATCTGATTCTATATATTGATTTTTAATACTATCCGGGTCTATAGTTTTTAAAATACGTAACTTTAGTAGATAAATACGTTCTAAATGTGATATGTACGTTGTGCCACAGCTAGACAAACCATATGCTACTTTTGACTCTACCAGTGATTTATATGTATAGCTACATTAGTATTTTATACGGAATTTTACATTTAATTATCTATAATTTATAATCTATAACTTATTATGTGCGAGCAGCAAAAAATTAACTATTTCACCTGAAATTTTCTTATCTGATATTTCACACACATCTCTTCAACTAATTAAACAAATGTTGAAGAAACATACAGCACTAAATATTAATTTTTGAACTGTTTGTTACATATAATTTACCCAAGAATAATGAATCATCTATTAAATCTTTTAATACTAAATATGAAATTATATACCAAAACATTGATCTATCGTCTGTTTACAACACTTTTGCAGAAAAAATAACGAACAAGTGTTCAGAATTCGAGCTTTTCATATCAGGTTGGACTATTGAGGCAATAAGACACTTAGAATTAAATATTATAAAATATAATCCGTTAATATTTGATTCGTATATACCATTACCTGAAAAAATACGTAATACAAAATCATGTCTAAATTAAAAAAAAAAAAACAATGATAAAAACCGCTTTCTTTGGAGTATTTTAGCTCATGTGTATCCAACTACAAGTAATCCTAATAGAGTGAATTCCTACCGTCATTACTCAGAAGTTTTAATAACAGATAATATGTTATTTCCTCCAAGTTTTAATGATATTAAATTATTCAAGGAAATGAATCCTAATGTGAGCGTTGATATATACGGTTTAGATAAAAAAATTATGTGACCGGGCCGCTGTATAAAACTTTAAAAAGAAAGATAAAGCGTATTAACTTACTTTACTTAAATAAAAATAATAAATATCATTTTTGTTTCATAAAAAGGTTTGATAAACTCGTACACAAGCAATTAACTAAGCATGAATCTAAATACATTTATGTGAAGAATGTTTTTTATATTTTAACACTGCAGAAAAACTTGTAAATCAATATTGTGCGAGGATCCAAACCATTTTACTGGAAGAAAATACTAAACTTTATTTTTCAAACTATGAAAAGACTCAAAGAATTCCTATTGTAATATATGGCGACTTTGAGAGTTAATTACATGAGTATTCAGAAAAAAACAAAACAACGTATGTGGAAAATATTCAAATCC